AATCAATCAATTTAATTAATTCGTTCTTTTTGTTTAATTATTGTTTTATTATCTACTATTAATTAAAACATAAATAAATAAATAAATAAATTAATTAATAATTAATTAATTAAATTAATTTATTTATTTATTTATTTATTTATTCATATAGTTATTTACTTATCTTAACTAATTTATTCATCCCTTTTTTTATTTGTTTATTTATTACTAATTTAAAAAATAAGTAAAACTTTAAAATCTTCCTATCATTAAATGCTAAATTAAATGCTATACATGTATTTTACGAGTAAATTACATGTTTATTTTTTTAAGAAAGCAAAGATGATTATCTTTCACCTATCTCCCACTTCAAACAACTTTTCTTTGCCCATACTGAAGTAATGGGTAATTTGGAAACACATCCCGGTAAATATAACAGTTATATTGTTAAAGCGGAAAATGTTATATGATATTTTCGTTAAGATTTCTAAGCATAATATTAAAATGAGAAAAAAGGTAAATGTAAGTTATATGTATTTACACACGTTGCCAGGCAACTTTCCGCGTACATGGTTGAGCGGGGTTATGATTGTCGCCTGTGTTTGATTTTGGCGGGGATGTGCACGTGAAAAGTATGATACATGTATATGTACTTTAGGTGTGTAAAATAATCATTCGAGGATTTGCTTTTCGGCTGTTCAGACGAGTTTTATCTTAACTTTTCATTTAAATTCAAGAATGAACTCGGACAGTTTATATGAGATAAAATCGTATTTTGATGCTAAGTTTGCAGATTTTAAGAAAGGGATATGCAAAGGAAGTGTTGTCAAAACTCAAAAATTCACTGTTTTGAAAAACAAAGGGAATCAGATTCAGTTGGATCATAACTGTGAGCTGTTGGATTGCATCGTTCCAATTAGCGGACTGATTGAGTCAGGAGAACACAGTGAGGCGCTCGAGTTGTGTGAGACTGCCAAGGAAAAGATTGAACGTCGCAATAAACTGATAAAACTGGCAGACAAGTCACCTAGTGGTTGGTTGACTGTACACGAATATGAGCAAGACGATTTAGCCAGCGATGATGAGGATTCAAAGAGAATTAAAAAGGCTGAGAAAGCAGCTGCGTCCATTATCAAAAACAGCGCAATGAAGCAAAGAAAGCGAACAGAAGGTTCATAAATGGTAAGTTTAGTTTAGTCAGTTTAGTATGCAAAACAATTAAACACGTGATAGAGTGTAAAGCTATGGGTGTCCTGATTGTACTAAGGTGGCAGTCTGCAGCTTACTGGCCTTTATTATTTGAAGATAACAGTTTTACAGGGAAAAACTATGTTAAGGATGTCTTAGAATTTTGTGACAGAAAAAGATATGTTGATGGTAAAAATAAAAGATCTCTTTTTGGTTCTAGAAAGTTTAAGGGATTTGTTTTGGCAGTTAAACTTGATTCCAGATCATTGAAATAATTATCACGTTAAATTTGTAATTAAGTATTACCGGAAGGACTATTTAATTTCATGGGTAGACGGTCGGAAGGACCAAAGTCTGGCCGGAAGGGCCTCAGTCTGGCCGGAAGGGCCTAAGTATGGCCGGAAGGGCCCAAGTATGACCGGAAGGGTCAGGACATATGCTTATGTGAAAAAAAAAAAAAAAAAAAACCTATTTCTGCAGAAATTATTGGATATATGTTTTTATTACATGACAAAGATAATTGTTCTTTATATCATTTAATATCAGTTGCAATTGTAATCATAGGGTTTTCAGGATTTTTGAGGATCGAATAACTGTTAAATTTTAGATGTACTGACGTTACATTCAATGATGATTACTTAAGTTTGTACATACGGTCTAGTCAAACTGATCAGTTAAGTCGTGGTTCTTCAGTTGTTATTTCAAAATCAACTGGTGTTACATGTCCATATACATCATTAAAACTTTATTTTTCAAAGGCTGATTTATCAAACGATAGTGAAGAGCATGTTTTTCGGGCTTTATCTTCGTGTAAGAAATCTAACTCTTTTAGATTAAAGAAAGGAGGTTGCTTATCTTATACTCGAGTTAGGGAACTGTTACGTGAGATGCTTGTCGAAGTAGGCTTAAACCCTAATGATTATGGGACTCGCATTTTAAAACGCGGTGGCTCTACCGCCAGCGCTGTTTATAATGTATGTGATAGACTTTTTAAAAAGCACGGGGATGGAAAAGTGAGCATGCGAAGGACGGTTATGAGTCTGAGGATATTAATTCGATTCTCAGCGTTTCTAAAAATCTAGGATTGTAATTCAGTTTCGTTTCAGTTAATAGCGTTATTTGTCCCGTACTTTAAAATTCGACGCTGGAACAATCGCTCTTAGCCAATTGCATATAAATTGTTTATTTGTTTTGTTGTAGTGTAGTACATGTAAGTTGAAGGGCTTAAGCTTGTAAATGATTTATGCTCGGTTGAAAGAATTGAATTAGAGCATAAATGTATTTACACACGTTGCCAGGCAACTTACCGCGTACATGGTTGAGCGGGGTTATGATTGTCGCCTGTGTTTGATTTTGGCGGGGATGTGCACGTGAAAAGTATGATACATGTATATGTACTATAGGTGTGTAAAATAATCATTCGAGGATTTGCTTTTCGGCTGTTCAGACGAGTTTTATCTTAACTTTACATTATTTAGAAAATTGCGGTAGTTTATGTAGATTATAATGTCGTAAGATACACGGTTTTTTCAATCATTGTGTATAAATATAGTATTTAAAAATCAATGCATATAAACAATCTTGTTTTTCTAGTTTCAGATTCTGATGTATGATATGCCAGGAATGCTTGTTTAAAAAAAATAGATGTTTCGGGGGACGAGAAGACGTCCATGCTGGTCTTGAGCCACAGGATCTTCCCACCTCCCCCTCCTAAAAATAAGTAAAAGGAGTTAGGGTTGGGTGGCCTGCTCGCAGCATCCCGATTTAAGAGTTCATGAATATATTATATGATTGTATTTTTGTATGTGTATACTTTATTGTAAATTCAAACATTGAATAAAGGAGTGATTATTATTTAAATTTATGAGGCATTTTTCTTTTCTCGTTTTTGTTTTTGTAGAACAATTAAAGTAACAGGGTCATTTTATCAAATTACTAATTATCTTTAATCATGTGCCGAAAACATGTGTCTAACAGTCAAGTTTTCTTTGTGAATTAGATTTTTCAATTAAAGATGTTATGTTATTTGTTGTATGGGTTTCCATTTTTGTTAGTTAACGACCTATATGCCTGTCATGAATGACATCTAATGAGTAAATATGTTTGTTGTTTTTTTTTTTTCGTTTTTTTTTTTCGCTGAATGATACGAAATCAGTTTGACATGTCATTTGTTAATCTTTTGTGTATAATGTCATAGTGGTTTTGATACGAATAAGTTCTGTTTCTTTCTGTGTATAAAATCGTCAAATAAACGGCTGGAACAACCACTCTTAGCCAATTGCATATAAAGTGTTTATTTGTTTTGTTGTAGTGTAGTACATGTAAGTTGAAGGGCTTAAGTTTGTAAATGATTTATGCTCGGTTGAAAGAATTGAATTAGAGCATAAATTTTAGTATATTATACATGAAATTATTTTTTCTCATTTTAATAACATCCGGGCAAATAAACATAATGTTTTTTAATGAAAAAAAAACTGATTTGATGTCAGTATTTAATATTTATATGAACTGTGAAGTTTTATTCTTCTTCTTCTTCTTCGTATTATTATTATTATTATTATTATTATTATTATTATCATTATTATTTGTTTATTGTTGTTACATTTTATTTCATTTATCACAATAAAAATTATATTTCTTCACTAGTTTTATTTTTCTAAAAAAAGGTGATAGTTAATGTAAGATAGCTTTTAACTTGTTTTTTTCTTCTTATTTCTGTTGTCTATTTACTATATATTTTCATTATAACAATATGATGTATGATGGAAAATTCTAAATAAAGAAACGAATTGTCCCATTAAACCAAATGTTTGCGTTATTTTACTACACTCCATTTTGTCATTGATCATATCTTCTTCATTGAAACAGGTGTAAACCATATATCATGAAAGTATTTTCTACAACATATTAAATAACAATTAAAAGCACAGACCATACTAACGCATGAGGAATGTGGAGAAAAACGTTTCATGTATATTCATTTTATTGCACAGTATTAGACAATTTGAGGACACTTATACTGATTCCGGAGAATAAACTGCAAAATGACAGCATTACTTACCATTTTAAAAGTATAAAGAAATATATTCTTCTATGTATACATGTATTAATCAAATAACTCCGAACAACATTTTTCATTATTATCTTTCGAAAATAAATCCATTTAAAAAGATAGAGGACTATTTTCCGCAAGACGGACAGGTACAAGGCGTTTCGTCTGAGGTTTAAAAGATAGGGGAATTGTTCCTCTATGTCAAATCTCTCTCTGCATGTAAATTTGTTCCTGAAAAAGAGCCTGTAGGTCGACCCCCAGAAAAAGGACATCTGGAATTTCCTTTTTTATTCTGGAACGCATTAACCACTTTGTCATTCTTCCGTGTTTTCCCCTAGCACCCGACAAACATTTTAGTATTTCCGCCTGACGGATTGGCCCTTCTCGATATCTGGATATATCACACATACTAACTCACTCACTCACTCAACCAAATACTCACTCTTTCACTCACACACATAATCACTCAATCAACCACATAATCTCACATACTCACTCACGTACTCACTCACATACTCACCCATTCACTCACTCACATACTCACTCACTCACTTAACCACATACTCACTCACTCACTCACTCACATAATCGCTCACTCAACCACATACTCACTCACTCATTTACTCACTCAATAATAAAGATAATCTTAATTAAATTTCTGATGTTAAAATACACTTATGCAATATTATGAAATATATTTCTGATAGAATAACATAAATTAAACGAACATGCAAGCATTTATTGAGTTACAGAACTAGTTGATAATGCGAGCTTTAGATAAATATAATGAGTGAAGTTAGCGAAAACCCTTACAAATGATTGTATAACATGATGTGTATGATACATATGTTATTATTTATTTTTTTTGCAACAAATCAGGTAAAATTAAATTCGTCAGAGTATTAAAAGAATTTAGATAGAGGAAATTAAATCACTTTCTTACTTTAAATAGTTTCATTTTATACATTATTTTGAAGTAATTAATTTATTACTTGTAACTTTTAGTATGTAACCAAATGTTAAATCGTGTATTAAAAAAGTCAATATATCAAATAGCAAACATACAGCTATTTTCATATCAATGCTATAATGGCAATACAAATCACAACAAGGTAAAACATATCGACAATCGTTACAAACTTTTTATCCGATATCTAGATATATACGCTGACCAACCCGATATCACAAATAGTTCATCTGGGTTATTCAGGCTGTCCGTTTCAAACATGATAACTTCATCTTTGTGTTATATGATAAAATGGTTTTGCTCTTGAAAGTTATTTTTGCGGAAAATTATAGTTCAATGTTTGCGACTTTCACATGCTTTATTGTTTTAAACCTTGGATTATAAAATCATTAGGTCTCGGGTGAGTTGCTTTTTGTGTTATAATTCTCTATTTTATGATGAAAATGAACATCTTGTTTGTAAGTTTAACTGCATACAGTCAAAAACAATTTTGTTGCAAGCAATACGACGTAAGATAATAAAACTGGTGCAAACACTTTCTTTTATTCTGTCTAAATTATATTTCCAGTAGTCCTACAAACAACATTTTGATATGAACATGTATTTGATAATATTGTAGGAAACTCGTGTTGTTAAAACCACACATGTGTTCTATAAACGAAAAATAATGCAATACCAAAACAATTTAAAGACAATGTTTCAAAGCCAAAAAAACACTATGGTTATTTTATAAGATATTTTTAAACCGTTAGAATGTCACAAACATGTGTAAATCATAACAATATGTTGCATTCATTCATTTATCATTTATTTTTTCATACATTCATTTATTTATTCATTGATTTGTTTTTTTTTGTTTTTTTTTTGTTTTTTTTGGTTTATTTTGCTTTTTCAGCAACATTATTTTATGCCAGCAAGAACGTGCAAAATGCTTTTATAAAAAATGTATTGCAGTTTTAACGGCTCACCTATTTATTATTTATTTTAATAATTTTCTATCAACATAATATATGTCTACTAATTGAAAGCAGTGTACATGCATGCAAATTGTACTATAATTGTATTATAAGATTTTTAAAAGATAACAATGCCAAGAACAAAAATGAAAAGTGAAATGTTGAATTTTCAAGTTTCAAGACTACTGTTGTACTACATTTTAAATTATTTTTAATTTCGAAACATCGCATAATCCTAAAGTACAAAAAGGAAGATGAGTGAACAAATGCAATAAATCACATCCAATAAGTTCCATACATTTATCTTGAAATAGTGCATTAAAATTCTCATAATATTAACGTGCATATATGTTTTGATTGGACATTGTCTCCTGTTAAACACCTTTTGATATTAATGATAAGTAATAAAATTGTAAACTATCAGCTTTCAAATGTATGCATGTGCCGCCTTTTGAACCGACATAAATAATTAATAAATAATAAGTGTTCACACTATAAAATCAGTCACAGCTATTCAAAAACTATTATCAAAACTTTTAAATATTCAAGTTAAAACCGTAACACTTTGTCAAATGTATTTTTTAGTACCTAACCTCGTGCGTTAAACATCCTTTCTTTAAAAATAAATTGCAGGGTGTTGAAATTAAGATTGAATTTCAATTCGAAATTAGACGATAAATTATTAATAAAGAGATACCATGACATGCATTGTAATATATACTAGTTCAAAAGTACTACTTCGCATATGAATAAAGTATAATTTTATGTTAATGGTGTAATGTGGACTATTAAACAGTCAGATATGCGACATTATAAGATTTATGTTCATAGTGAACTATTAAGATATTCTTTAAAATATACTGATATACGAAAACGGTTTGATTTGAAGTGAATTAATTATTGAAAAGTGTATTACCTGTGCACATCAAGTAGATAAAATATGCATGCAAATGGGTATTAAGCTTTCTAAAACACTATATGAACACTTCTCATATTAAATATATTGGCTGCAGATTTCATCCCAGTGTACATCGGAGAGCTATTCGTCTTGCCTCCTTAATATATTTGTTATTCAATAACATCAATTTAGTTTTCAGTTGAGTGAATAATATAGTTCTTAACATTCACTGAAATAAAGCCCTTAACCCATTACTGCATGAATATTTTGTGAAAAAATAGCTGTTTTCATTGAAGAGTCTCCCTTTTCAAGATCAAATTACTATAAAACCGCTTAAAAAATATTCAAACTTGGCACAAATGTTGACTGAACCATTGCCTTTGTAACAACATGTTTTAAATTTCTTGTTACCAAGGCAACAAGGGGACATCTCAAAATTGCCCAAAATCACTATTTTGCGTTGAATTTTCCCATCAATTTTCATTTCAAAGTGCTGCAACTGCTTAATGGGTTGGGATAGAGTCAAAGGCTTTTCAGCGTTGGTTACGTTATCTTATGATCGTCTTTGGTCATTTTTAGCCTCACACATGTCAAAAACTATTCTTGGCGATTAAGGGGGAGCCGCCCCCTTCAAACCCCCGAACAAATGGGGGCACATCCCCCTTCTGGCAACCCCTTGATGTATATTTTGGATAGGTGGCGGCGCCGAAAAAATGGTCACTTTTTTAAACAACATTTCTCAAACAAAATATTCATCTAATCAATATTTGGAATTGTATATGTAAAATGAGAAGTAATACCATGTCAATTACCCTAGATTTGGGTGTTACGAAAAACTGGATAATTCGCTACCATTAATTGTCCTTAAATCACTATGCAATCGTGTCTTAATTTACACTGACTTATTAATGTAACTTTTAGATATGATGTTATCCATCGTAGTCTTCATTGAAAATGATTTAAACATTGGGTAAAGTATATGAAATACGGGCAATGATCTCGAAATAACTGCATATAATAAGGCTGAACTACCAAAGCCTAATAGTATCAAATCAAATACAATAAGTAATACTGCAAAGATAATGTAACGCGAATCAAAAGGCGAAATTACGCAACATAAAAAGCAAAGAAACGCAAAAAAAGGCAGAATAACGAGACTAAAAGAGAAGAAAATGAACCAAACTGGTGATGGCGATAATTATTGCGATTGTGAGTGTTCAAACGCGAAAAAAAGCCGTTATAACAAGAAACAAAATGTGACGTAACGTAAACCAAAAAGTGTAATAACGTGAGTTAAAATGCGTTATACCGTGAAACAAAAGGTGGAAAAACGCGAAACAAAAGGCAAAAATATGCGTAATCAAATGCGTACTTATGCGAAACAAAATATATAATAATTCAAAC